TTGTTTTTCTTTTTACATGCGTTTTCTATTCCTTTCGTTATCCATGGTTTACTTGGGTCTTTATACTTTTTGGAGACTTTAGTTAATGGAAAATGTTTATCATATAAGGAGATTATGGTAGACTGAAATACTTCAAACGCTGTATTTGGGTCTTCGTTTGAGTAGACCTCGGTCCAGTTTTGTTTTTCTAGGTCTTGCTTAAAAGCATCGATGGAGCGTTGGGTTCTTAGTCTTATTTCTGTTAAGTGAGTTGTTGACTTAGCTTTTCTATCAAAATAATTTGATAGAAAAACAAAGACAGGTAGATGGTCACTTATATCATTAATGAGAAGTCCACTTTCCATTTTATGATCAATCTTATTTATAAATATGTTATCTATTAATGTGGCCGTGTCAACTGTTATTCTGCTAGGTTTCAGGATTACTGGGAAAAGGCTGTTGCAGTACATAGTATTTATAAAGTCAGTTGTTTTTTTTGTGTCCATTTGGGTTTAATAAGTCAATGTTAAAGTCACCACACATTATTTGTGTTTTCTTATCGTTGTAGTCGCTGAGCATATCTGTTAGTTTATTATTGAATGTGTCAATAACAATCAGTCTCCAACACCAGAAAAAGTCGCCAGATTGTCACATGTCACTTTTTTGAAAAAAAGAGTTGCTCGAGAGGGTCTTAATACTCACTAAATATAGCGTCAAAGTTGCTAAGTTGGCAACACTAACTTCCTGTCATGACATTTAAAAAAAAAAAAACTTTTCCCGACACACCTAGCGGTCGACTCGGGATCAGTCCGCGGTCGACCTGGTTGGGCACCCCTGATTTAGAGCGTTTCATTAACCTGCCATAAATGTTGTTTTTGAAATGTGGAATGAAACCGGAGTACCCAGAGAAAACCCACGCAGGCCTGGGGAGAACATGCAAACTCCACACAGGGAGGGTTGAATATTTTTTCCTATTTATGGTATTCACACAGCCGATGAATTCCAATATTTTTTTTGCTAATATGCGACACGTATCGGGATTTTTCCATGTAGTGTGAAGAATACATTTCCGATTATTTTTCAAATCTGACCTTGGCCTCTTTCGTATGTGGATATAAATCGCAGATGTTTGGAGACGTTGCACATTTAGTGATGTTCAAGTACCAGACTCCGCCCTCTCCATGTCCCGACACCGTATTTTCCGCACTAAAAGGTGCACCTAAAAGCCTTCCATTTTTTTCAAAGCTCACAGCACGCCTTAAAATCTGATGCGCCTTGTGTATGGTCATTACGGTAATATGTCAACCCCAAAATGGCTCCTTGCTAGAGACATGCTTACAACGCAGAGTTCAAACTTAAGGCAATCGGTTTTGCAGTTGAACACGGATATAGAGCAGCGGCAAGAGAGTTCAACGTTAACAAGTCAATGTTATAACTTGCTGTTGGTTACGTGAACTGTGTCGCTGCTTTATTAAATAAGTTTTTCTGACATCTGATCGGCGCTATAAAATCAGGGTCCAGTGTTGTGGTCTGTTGGCATTTCCTTGAGGGTACCTCCATCTAGTGGGTGCATTGTAGATTGTGTCTTATCATGCGGTGCGCCCAATGTATGAAAAAAATTACAAAATAGGCCATTTTTTGAAGGTGTGCCTCATAATCCAGTACGCCTTTTAGTGTGGAAAATACGGTAGTCTTCACAGGTGGGGGCACACCTGAAACTATTCACTAATTCCCCTGCACTGATGGGTCAGCTGAGTTGGAGATGAGGGCCACCAATCAGGAAAGAGCAGGGGAGATGCAAAGACGAACCCCCCCCCCCACACACACACCGCACACACACACACACACACACACACACACACACACACACAAAGAATAATAGGCCACAAAATATCGTGGACTGTAACAGCTCACACCCAAACCAGAGAGGTTGGGGTGGTATAAATTTGATCCAAGAGTAAAAAGGCCTCCCTCTCCCCATCTGTCGACAAAATACGTTTCCGTGGATAGGAAAACTGACGGTTTACATTGGGCAACTACTTTGCTTCGCACGCCGCTATACCCGTCACTGCCCAGCATCATCTCGATGACTCTCTGAAGGCTCTAAAGCAAGAAAAACATGCATACGCTAGCCAAGTAATTGCCGAGGAGCATTCCCACGATCATTTTACTCATGATACTTCCGAACGTGACAGCGGAAAGATGCATTTTCCGGGTTTTTGTGTGTCCGCAACCTTTTCAATGAGCCAGAGTGCAGAGTTGTGGTCTGTGGTGGATCGGTTTGTGCATAAACCCTGCATTAGTGTTGCTCGCATCGACTTATTGTTGCCACTAGCGCTCAGGGAGGCAGGATGCGTGTGAACAGTTTTCCACAGATGGAGAGGAGTGTGATGCCTCTGTGGTTACTCTAGATCAGCTCGTGACCCAACTGCTTGCGGAAGGGGAGTACTATGCCATGTCTCCAGTCATCTGGCAGGTCTCAGACAATCAGTTTTGTTTTGTTTTTTTGTTTTGTTTTTTTAATGTGTGCCAGATTAGGATGTCAGTAGAGAGGAAATGACCGACACTGTCCTTGAAGGAAATAGGCTTGCTTTTCCTTGCTGAGAGTACTGAAGAGCTGCTGCAGCTTGTTATTTTGGGAAGCCTCCCGAAAGGCTGTTGTCTAGTTGCTCTCGAAGCATTCCCACTCGCATTGAATGGACATGTTGCGGTGGCTGCTGTCACACTGTGCAGTTGCCTGTCTACGTATGGGGTGTCCCATAAGTCTCCAGACATTGAAAAAATACATATTTCTTGAAATAAGCCATACTTGCTGAACTGGCCATAAGGATGATTTCAATTTGTTACTCTTTATTCAAATGCATTCATTCTCTGGGTTATCTGGAATGTAAAGAAATAAATGTTGGAGCCAGATATGTATAAAATGTATTTTCTCTCCTATGTATGGAGGCTTATGGGACAACCTGTATATGTTACCTGCAATTGATGAGCAAGCATTGCATGTTCACCAGCGACCCTAATGAGCACACAGGATATTGAAAATGGATGGATGGGTTTCTGCACATTTAAGGTTATTATAAGAATACTTGAACATTTCACGTGTTACATCTTGCATGCGTTATGCTCCTGGTCTAAAGGAACCAAAAACATAACTGCTTGAAGTCTTCCGAGTTTCCTACCCTCAAGTAAGGCCAATGTCCACAAAACAAAACCAAGCTTTACAGTGGTTATTTTGGTTTCACACACACACACACACACACACACACACACACACACAGGGGCGGGAAAAGTATCTCCAACAATCGTGGAAAAACAATGACACATGCCAGAGCAATCGTCCCCAATAGTAATCAGCTATCATCCTTGTAAGTCCTCAAAGCTTGAAGATATTCCAGTCAGAAAAAGATGGTTCAGAGTAGCAAGCTCTTTGCTGTCATGCATTTACACCATCAAAGTTTGCTCCTCATTCATTGACCTTGAAGTGTCTACTAACCTGCTCCATCAATAAATTAACCTTCAAACAAAGTAAATCAACCTTGCCAGCAACGCAGAATTTAGTGTTGCTTTTGGGTCAAGAAACTAACCCCACACAAGTCTCATTTGAAACCCTCACATATAAACAAAAATGATCACAAATATTTAACTTTTACAGTTCAAGCTGATACTGTGGAGTAGATCGTTTGATAAATGTTCAAGAATTTTTTTTTTTGTTCATTTTTTCTTGGACCATTATTATTTCCCCTAATGTCCATGCATCTGTGTGTCTGTTGTCGAGAACATGTTGACAGCTGAGAACACGTTGACTGAAATGACCTGGATAGCCCTCCTTTCATTTCGCTAAGTCATCAAGCCCCCACCGCATTCCCAAACTCCCTCCGCCCCCTTGCCTTCATAATGAAGCACTGTTCGAAAACAAAAACCCAGGCCAAGGGTAGAACAAGGCACGTCCGAATTCTGGGACCAGACTGGGGAATCCTCAAGGGGTGAAGAGGAAAGTAAAGCAGTGCAAAGTGAAGAACTGAAGGTTGTAAGATCACGTACCGGGGAGAATAAAATGGTAAGATCACTATTTCACTTTAGTTCATTAAACCCAATGGAAAACTAGAAGAATTAACTAATAAATATGTAATACACGTTAGTCTTTCATTTTAAAAATTATTTTCCTGTTGATTTATACAATCTGTATTGGAAAGCACATCATTTTATAGTTAGCAGACTTTGAGGCTTAAGTACCGCACAAAAATGACTTTGACAAAACATGGCTGGCGATGGCTTATTGCCAGCTAGTGTCATGGAGTGGAACAAAATTAAGGTGCTTTTGGCTGTAATTATCTTCCATGGCCTATTTTGGAACAGTTCAGAAATTGGATGCAAAACACTGGCTCATACATAACCAATCTAATCACGATCACCACTTGGACAATCTTTTGACTTCCAATGCAGGAATGACAAATTTTGCTTTGATAAAATAATATTGCTCTGTGTAAACACTGCCAGAGAGTTACTAAAATCACAAGATGTTACACAATGTAACACAATGGTAAATATTTCACTGCTTTTATCGAATACGTTGCATGCATCATCCATCCATTATCCTCACGAGGGTCGCGAGCATGCTTGAAAGGTATCCCATTTTTCTTCGGGAAGCAGGCGGAGTGTTATAGACATTAAAAAAATAATAATAATAATAAATCAATAAAAACGTGTACCGTAGATAAATGTAGGTTGAAAATGGATTTGCAAAACAGGATTTTCTGCTTTTATTTATGTTTTACACAATGTCCCAAGTTCAGTGGATTTGGGTTTTGTAATACCACCCCGACAGTGCATGCAGGAAAATATTGTTTTATTCAGCTCTTGTATCGGATCTCAATATATTGTGTAGTTTGTGTGCAAGAGACCAAGACTGTTCTCCCGGTCAGAATACAGTATTAGATGCCCACTCGGGCTATTAGTCATAGGTTGTAGCAGTAGAAGTTTGGCTTGTGTACCTCCTGCAGTCAAAAAACATTCACAGGTTCATGTCACTTTTAAAGTAAACATTCCTCTGGCATTCTGACCAAACAGTCAAAAATACCTCTTTTGGCTCACCAATTAACAACAACAAAAAATCACGGCTTTGAACAGCTCTACAAGTAAACACTCTAAATAGAGCGTTGATTATGTATGGGTATTGATTATATTTTCACATTACTGCTGCTCTTATTGATACTACCTATGGATCTGGTGACTTCATGATATTTTTATCAGTACCGCTTAGACCAGGGGTGTCAAACTCATTTTTGTTGCGGGCCGCATTGTAATTACAGTTTCCCTTGGAGGGCCATTATGAATTTTGGGAAACCATATAAATGTTTAATCACCTCCTCATATTACATATACAGCACACAACAAATTGATGGCTAACTAGTTTTAAAATCAGAAGTCAAGAATAATGACTGTTGTTTTGGATTACATATGACAATTTGAAATTTTGGTTCAGACTTTATTTTAGCAGGCATCATGGAACTTGACATGCTTGATTTGCTTTCGTGGGCCACATAAAATGATGTGGCGGGCCAGATCTGGCCCCCGGGCCTTGTCTTTGACACCTGTGGCTTAGACTCATAACGGTCGCGGGCATGCTGGAGCCTATCCCAGGTGTCTCCGGGCAATCAATGTACCTGTAATCTGATTACATTTTTTTTTCTGAAACTGGAGCGGAATACTATTACAATTTTGTTGTATTCTGATCACGTAACGCCAGTGTATGTATTCCATTACTCCTCAAGCTTGGGTAGGATGCAATCATTTTTTTTTGAAGGTGCGGGTCTGTGGGGAAGTGAATTCTAAACTGGTATTTACAATGTGTATACCAACCATAGAGACCCATCGACTATGTCAGGAACATTTCCATTGAAAATATGAATTTAGCATTGATAGGTTCTTAGCTGAGAGTAGCGTTGGCAAGCAGGCTGGCAAGGCATTTGACGGGGTTGGTGGCTGCCACACTGGAGATCTGCCAGAAATGGTTCCTAACGAGAGAAACAAAGACGGTCCAATCAGGATATTCACCCCTTTAATGTCATTGCAGGTAATTTGCAAGTTGAAGATGAGGATGTCTTTGGCATCTCTGATGGCGTTGGTTGCCTTGTCCCTGGCCTTCCTGGGCCCCTGCCCTTGCTTGACAGCTCCCCTAGAGGAATCAGATGATGATCGTTTTGACCTGGAGAACTACGACCTGAACAGTGTAACAGACTGGGGCAAAGTGGAACCCAACATTTATGGTGACAATTATGATTATGAGGACTTGGACCAAGAAGTAAGTGGATAGTATCAATGCAGTAAATTTCTGTATATTCTTGAACAGGATGATTCATTTATTATAAATCAGAAAATATAAATATGAGTAAAATATTCAATTTCATACATAAATTTAAAATTTTGCTAGGACCCCTCCATGACTCGTCACCTTATCGTGGTGGAGGAATGTGTGTGTCCCATTGACCCAAGGAGCTAAATTGTCACCCATGGCAAATAGATCCTAGGGGAGCGACCAAACAAAGCACAGCTCACAGACCCATTCTGATGAGTTAAAATATTATACTGCATTTTTGTTGGCCCAGATGCAGGTCATCGAATGTCCAATTTATCCTCACAAGGGTCGTGCATGTGCTGGAGCGTATCCCAGCTGATTCCGGGCAGTAGGCGGGGGACACCCTGAACCGGTTGCCTGCCAACCGCAGGGACGAACAACGCTCACGCTCACACAGGGGGACAATTTAGAGTGTTCAATCAGCCTGCCATGCAAGTTTTGGGAATGTGGGAGGAAACCGGAGTACTCGGAGAAAACCCACAAAGGCACGGGGCGAACATGCAAATTCCACACAGGGAGGCCAGTGGAATCGAACCCTGCACCTCTGCGCTGTGAGTTTGGCACGCTAACCACTCGATCACTGGGCCGCCCAGCACAGATATATAATATATGAATGTAGGCGTTGTCAGGGGTTTTATGCTTCTACCAGTGTCATCCAGGGCAAACGGTTCCTAAGACAAAGCAGATCAGGTTGGGAAAGTACATTTAACTCCATGGTTGTTTATTCAAAGGGCAAAGGTAGTAGTTTGGAATCAAAATACATATTTTGCCGAAACACCACATATGTAGGCAACTACTACATACAGAATACAGCCAGCAATCTATTGAAAAAAATAATAAAAAAGAATGTGGGTTTCTTTTTTTTTTCTGGTACTATTTTTAATACTGTGCAAACACCTCTCTACTTGAAAGAAATTAACTACATACATAGTTTGCTAAAAATATTGAACCATACTAACAGATCACTGAACACAATTATACTTGATTGACAGATCGAAGTAGAGACCTTTGCAGCGGACATCAACAGATTAGGTAACCAGCCAAAAGTAAACCACCATGAGGTAAAAGGGACTGTGCCGACTTTTACGCCTCCTCCTGTGACATTGGACTTCAAAGGATCCGGCCTATTTGGACCTGAGACGGGAATGGGTTTGTCCTCTCACTGTGCTTCATATTATTTAAAGACACAGTTGAACTGCCCTCACCTGTATTTGACCTGCCATCAGTGATCGACTTGCTCTGTTCTAAAACAGTCTAAATTTGTGCAGGAATGCCTACCTGCCTTCTGTGTGTTTGTATTGGAGGGAGTGTGTACTGTGATGACACAGGCCTGAATCAGATACCACCCCTGCCCAAGGACACCAGGCATTTTTACGGACGCTTCAACAGCATCCGACACATCAAGAACACTGACTTCGTAAACCTCAGTGGGAAAACCAGTTTAACGACAAACACATCTATTGTAATGCGAAAACAATGACACATTTTTTTCAAACGTAATTGTTATCTTGATTTACAGGTAAACTTCAATCTATCGACCTCACTGGAAACCAGATTTCGGAAATGGATGAAGATGTATTTGGCTCACAACAGCAGCTCCATGACTTATTGCTAGCTGAGAACAACCTACAGGCCTTGCCAGAACTACCAGTTACTTTGAAGTACATCGATCTACGAAACAACAGATTGATCAGCCGAGGGATCCATTCAGAGTCCTTCAAGGTTATCTACCTTGGCAGACACACCGATGTCAAACGGAGCAATTTATTACAAGATTGAACATTCTGACATGGTGATACTCTCTCTCTCTCGCTCTCTCTCTCTCTCTCTCTCTCTCTGTGTATGTGTGTGTGTGTGTGTGTGTGTATGTGTGTGTGTGTGTGTGTGTGTGTGTGAGGGTTTGAATTAATTTTTGTTAACATACATTTCTCCTTTACACAGGATATGAGTCATCTGGAATTCCTCTACCTATCTAATAATAACCTGGATTATATTCCAACCCCACTGCCATTGAATCTCAAAGTATTACACCTGCAGGTAATTGTACAGATGGAGTAACCTATTATGCAGTGGTATTTTTGAGGTTATGTACCTTGTGTTTTGTACTGCGTATGATGTCATGTTATCTGTATGCCTCAAACTTTAATGACGGATTCCCATAAAACAACGTGTGGGGGATGTGCAATTGTGTTCCGAAGAACAATATTTTTGCAATTCACCCCTGTTTACTCGAGCCTCTATTTGTCATTTAGGGCTGCCGCAAATGATTATTCAACCATTAGCGGTAGTGGCGATTAGACGAGCAATTGAATCATATGTAAATTGTGGCATATTGCACCAGCAAGCAACTGCTCTTATATAAACTATCATTCATTAACAGCTTGAATTTTTTAAGGCAGGGGTCACCAGCCTTTTGGAAGCTGAGAGCTACCTCTTGGCTACTAATTAATGCGAAAGGCTACCAGTTTGAGCCACACTTCCGAAATACCTATTGCCATTATTAATCATTCATAATATTCTTCCGAGCGGCTGGTGAGCACGTCCGCCTCACAGTGCAGAGGTGCAGGGTTCGATTGCGGCTATGGCCTGCCTGCGTGGAGTTTGCATGTTCTCCGTGTGCATGCGTGGGTTTTTTACCTCTTTTACTCTGGAGAGTAAATATTTAAACCACCTCCTGAGCAGGGTTAAATTTGCTCCGGTTTAAGCTGTTTTCAGGGGCTACACCGGTATAACTTTGTCCGTGTGAACACTCTACGGGGGGCAGCCACGGTGCTACACCAGAGTAAAAGTTGCCGTGTGAACACCCCTCAAGTTGAGCTGCTGCTCTTCCACATCAAGACGAGTCAGATGAGGTGGCTTGGACATCTGGTGAGGATGCTTTCTGAAGCCCTCACGAGTAAAGTGTTCCGGGCACGTCAAATTGGGAGGAGGCTTGGGAACAGATCAGGAATACCCCACCACATGGAGCTGGTTAATCTAATGCTCCTGAAGCCTGACCTCGAATAAGTGGAAGAAGTTGGATGGATGGATGGATGGATGGATAAAATTACATGATCTTCTCACCGTCGAATGTCAGCGGTTTTAGCATTGGTAGCCAGTATCACAAGACGATTTCGGCAAAAAAATGTCTCAGGCCATTATTTTTAAGAAAGTGGCAATGTGTTCTTAAATAGAAAAGTATGCCATTAACAAGCTATCCTCTTCCAACACTGCTGGGGCCAAGGAAGTGTGCCATTGCTTGAGAGTGGCTTGAACCAGAGCTGGCCCGACCTAATTTTGTACCCAAGGCAAGATTTTTCATAGCTGTAATTTGCATCCCCTTAAAAAAGAAAAAATCAATGAACATTGTTTTTAACATTCTTTAATTGAAAAGAAAATGTCACTCTATTTAAATGCTGAACACATTTAGGTCTGCAACTATTATTATAAAATTAGAAAGATTATTATAATCTGTTGATTTTGTCAATTTGATGAATAAAAAAAAAAAACACTTAATTTCCATCCCTGTATTCCAAAAGAGGACAATTTTTCAATTTGACAGTGCAGAAATTGCTCTAAATATGCACAAACATTATGATTCAGGGACTCGTTTGGTCTGTCAAAAAGTGTCCTCTCATGAAAAGGTTTGGACATCTCTGCTATAATCACTTTTTTGAAGAATTATTTTTTACCTCCCAAACTTTTGCGCATTGTGAAGTGAGTAGAATTGAATTCACTGCTACCATACAGCGCTCTTATCTCGAAAAACGCTCGCAAGTCAAAGCAATTCAACTGCCCGAACAACAGCTCTTTTCTCGAAAAACTCTTAAGTTGAGTCATTCACATCTCAAGACATCATTGTATCGCCTGATGGGCCAGCTGGTTCTGACCTGCAAAGCTCACAAGTCAGAGGGACGACACAGTTACAACTACACTTTTAAATGTGTGAAAACAATAACAATTTCTCTTTGGAACTTGCAATTAGGGCAACAACATCCAGTCGCTGCATGAAGACACCTTCTGCGACAGCCATGATCGTTACTTCATCCGGCGCTACCTGGAGGATATTCGCCTGGATGGCAATCCTTTGAACATCAATCTGTTTCCTCAGGCTTACGTCTGCCTGCCCCGTCTGCCTGTCGGGAATCATTAATAGTCACTGTGGAAAAAGAAATATATGTGTGTGTGTGTGTGTGTGTGTGTGTGTGTGTGTGTGTGT